GCCACAAAGCTTCCTAATTTGTGTGATTTTAAGAATTGACAGTGCTTAGTTTTTTAAAAAAAAAGCAAATAACATCTGCAGATTATGTACAAGAACTCTGAACACTGTTTAAGTATGAAAAAAAAATATGAAGCAGAGTAAAGAATTTCCTGATCTTTCTAACAGCAAATAATTGGAAACAGATCTTAGTTTGAAGTACAGTAGTGACCAATTAATTACTTTGATCATTAGAATTTTAATAACACACCTGGATATATAAAATTCAGGTAGGACTCTTTAGGTGACTGTGATATACACACATATACTTTTTTAAATCAGTATTACACAGCTTTCAATATTTTCAGACTTTCTGAATTATTGAAAAACTGTTTTTATTAAATTGGGGCTTTTTTTTGCATTCTATCTGTAAATAATATAAAAAAAATCATCCCTGCCAGTCATATAAAATAGAGGAAACTTCTCTTGTTCTTCCACTCACATATTTGGAATGCTTTTAACATACCTCTGAAATTTCAGTCAACCTTGTAATCACATCACACACAGAAGCAAATAACAATCATGAAAGTTCCTCAGAACTGCTCACAAACTGCACTTTAGGACAAAGCTATGTTTATATTCACTTTATTCAGGACCAGCAAACTAAAGGAAAGTGTGTTCGGCGAATGGGCCAAGGCCCCACGTGAAGTCCACACGAACTGGAGCAGGGATAGGCCCAGCCTTTCTTTATCCTCCTAAAAGAGCAGCATGTAACCATCAATCAGGTCTTTAAGCAAAAATATTCCAAGAGCACTACAGTTGTACAGGGAACTGCTATATCTATGTCTCACAGTCCAGGGATCAAGGTTTTGGAGCTCTCATCCCAGGCTATAGTTTACAGGACATTAGGCTCTACTTCTTGCCCTGATCCCCAGGCAATAAATACAGGTGTGAGTCTATACACACACATACATGTAAGAGCCTACACACAGACATGTGCATGTATGCCACCACGTCAGCATGATGTTTTAACAAAACAAAACTATCAACCCTTGAAAAAACCCAGAGCTGTTCCACCTAATAAGAGGGAACACCTTCACAAACATTCAGTATAAAACCAAACACTAGAATTTTTAAACAAGCTGGTAAATGCTCCCCAGCATTTACTACCACAGGTATGGGGAGCCTCAAGGGCTGGACTATGGGACTTAGTACATCTTGGGCCACTTAATGTGCTGGGGCTTGTCACAGCACTGGATGTTTCCAGAGCAGTCAGATATCAGGGACCATAATGCAGGGCCAGAGGGGACAGGACTGTGAACATCAGGCAACAAAAGACGATAGTGACAAATGACTTCAGTGAATCTTGAGCTTACATCAAAATGAACGGATTCTCAAGGACAATAGTTTTCTTACTCTTATCTCACTCTAACCAGACTGTAAGATTTTGCTTCTCTCTCCATCCATGTCTCAGATACAGGTGGCACACATATATGCACTGGATACAAAACAAGAATAACATTTATTTCTCTGACAGAAGTGGAAGCAGTGGCTTGCCATTTAGTCATCCTTCAGTGCCCACCTCCTTTTTACCTGTGTGCTTCACTTCACCTCTGTCCCCTCACTTCCCACCCCACCAGCAGCAAGGTAAAGCATTGTTTTGCCTTCCTGACACTTATGTGCAAACACAGGCATAGCAACTCTACATGGTGAAATATACCTTCAGGCAATTAATAAAGATAAATTTCTGGACATAATGTGGATGTATCTTTTCTGGAGAAAGCAAGTGTGGCTAATAGTTGTAGCAGGTGTATTCAAATTTGACTTAGAACAATTCTTCAGCGTGTTATGAATATTTATATAAACCTCTACAAGTCTGATAGGTATAGAAGATGTCTTTGAACAGATAGAACAGTCTTACTCTAGTTCAGTTTCTATGCTTCATAAAGGTGGCTGTTACAAAATAATCATGAAATAATAATGAAATTCCTGACTGTAATTTCCTTCACGTCTTAGATACCCAGATTCTTAAGATGTTACCTGTGGCAACATAAAAATACCATTTTTCTAGTATCAAATTCTTCATATAATATAGAATGGAGAAAACAAACTAAAGACTGTGGTATATAACTTAAATTGTTGCCAATACAGTGCTGTATATCCGTAAAAACTTGGGATTATACTTGAAGTATGAAATGGTACAATGACAATGCATGGCTCATCTTTCATTTATTGTTTAAAAACACCTCTTTCTATCCCAGTTTACTGGGGTTTTTTAACTTGCAGTGTTCTTTATTTGAAGGTGAAAACAAGTGCCAGCTAATTCTCTGCCAGCTTAAGTGACTTTTTTCATTTCAATACAGAGGAAGGTAGGTTTGTCCTTGCCATCATTTTAGCACGATGATATTCCTGTTTTTTGTTAAGTAACTTTCTACTAATTCAAATAATTCCCTGCATTTGTCCATTCTTTTCACTAAGTGGCTGTTAAGCTCTATATACATCACTGATATGCTGGTTTCATGGTTGGTAGGTCTCAACACTTTTGGAAATGCAACAGGAATTTTCTACGGTTTACTTTCAATCTATACGTTGTGTTGACACAAATGATTTCTACAAATAGTTATCAGATCAATCTGTTTTTAAAAAGACTTGTTCACAATCCTTTCCAACTCAAAGCAAAGATTAATATTATTTATTTACTATTATTTACAATATCATGTTGGACTACATTTATAATGCACTGCAGATCTTGTGGCATTGCCAGATCCAACTTCTATAAACTGTTATGGAAATTCTTCCAAGAGTCCAAGCACAAATACAGCTGTAAATACTCATTAATATTTTAAAATATTTGCAGCAAAACTCTAACTGCCAAAACCACAATTGTATTTCTTAAACTGATATCACAACTATTTTATAATAGTATTTGTGTGTTAATTTTTTTATTAATTATATAACACTTACTAAAAAAAAGCTTTAATAAATAAATTGCTAAGCAATTACAAGCTACTTTGAAAATTGATATATTGATGAAATGTAATTTGTACTATTAGAAAACAAGGTGGATAAGAATCAGTTTATGGCCCCTTTTCTGAAGCACTTAATCACTGTTAACCAGGTACAAACATTGGTGTGCCCATGTCCTGTGGTTTGAAAGATTCTACAAACTGATTTTCAAAACAACAATGAAAAGTACAGAGGGTATGTTACCTTTGCAAGTTTATAACTGGGATGACCCCATCACTCAAAGGACAACAAAGGTCACAGAATCCCGGAGAAGAAAACAAGGCATTTACCCTGAGTTCTTTCTAGGAATTCCTTCCATAGGCTGCTACATTTTAGCATAGTCCATAAACTATATTTGTTACTCTTACAGGTACATGGGCTTTGACCAAGGTCCATTTCCTCTGCCTGTTATGTAATCATATAAAAGCTATTATGCCGAATGATTTGAAGTTAAATACATCTTTCACTCCCAAATACAGGTAGTCTTTCTAAATACTATGCCAGAAAAATCCAGATGATTTTTTTTTTTAAATGAATGGATATGTGTCAATTGATCAATATGAGAAAAAAAACTGACTGAAACACTTTGGTATACAAGAACTCTAGGGAATTAATGGAACTTATGCTCCTTCAGGATAAACCAAAGAGGATTTCGTTTTTTTGAAGATGATATTTTCATTGTTTCAACGCTTTGCGAAAACTTCACGAGGGCAAGACAGGTAAACAGCAGCCAGGCAATGACATAATGGCAATGAGCTCCAACTCTGTGCATTCTGGTAAAATTCCATTCCTAGCAAAAGTGGAAATCCAAGAGATTAAGGACAGATGAACTGCTATTGAAGTATCTGCAGGAAATGACTGTCAATTCAACATGGTGTGATCTGTCAGCAGTGAGGAGCCTGCAGTAGATGGCCTGGATGGTCTGCTCAAGAGGTCCTATTGACCAATTTATTTATGACACAAGTTATTTTAATAGTAGACCTACTTTCACCTTCCTCACAGCTTATCCTTTGTCAATAGCTGACGTCAGCTATGCTCAAACATCCTTATGGATCATGTTTTGCACTGGGTTCTGTTTAAATGTCTTTGCAAATAAAACAAATCCTGCTAAAAGGAAATGTCTCCACACAGAATTACGGAAAGCACTCACCCACTAGTAGCAGAGTGAAACTTCTGAGGGTAAACCCTATTTACCATAATACTACTCAACCCATAAAATCAGGGAATACAGAGGCAGTGGCCAAATGCATTATTTCTACTTCCTTCTCAGGACAACATTACCAATTAAATTCAAGTAGAGTGATTTTATTTATTGAGAATACTGAAACTGTACCTCGGGCTGCTACTGCTGTATGAAAAAGGTTTTTAAAAATTACTTTTTGTTTATGTTTTTATAGAGAGCTTCAAAGGGGAGAAATGTATTATATTTTTCTCCTCCAACTGAACACAAAACAAAGTTCAAGTTACATTTTACTGTTTATACACAAGCATTAAACTACCACTATATAGCACTAACAGAACAATTGAAAATAACTTTCAGAATACACTGACTGTAAATCATTCTCAACAGAATACCAGTACATTTTCAGGCTGCATATACCCTTACAATGTGGGTTGAGAGGAAAAGTTAATGACTTCTTTGTGCATGCAAACTGCACAATAAATCATCTGTTAACATAAAAGAGCATCTATTAGTTATACTGAAATGTTTTCAATGAACTGAACTCAGATCACAATTTGAATCTGACAGACTGTATTTATGCCCCCGTCTTTCTGTTACTGTAAAAAGAAATGCTGTAAATTTTAACAAAAATTATAATTTCTGCTTTTTGACTTGAATGAATTTAAAGGTCTATAAATATATATATGAAAAGAAATATATCATAATAACAAATTGTTTGGAAAAAATGAGTGAAAGATCTGAAAATCTAACTCCTGATTCTGTTTTCTTGTGCATTTTAAGACTTTACCAATTTCTCACTGCATGAAGTGAAACCCATTAGCCACTGGTAACTCACCCTTTTCTGTTCTTTAATATATTCCATCAGTTCCTTTCTTGTCCTTTTCACTGCTTCTTCAATTGCCTTTTCACTTCGTTTCTGCTCCTCCATTAATGCTTCCTTGACAATTTCCTTTTTAAAAGAAAAACATTTAACTGTAAATGTAACAAGTCTTTCACAAATGTAATAAGGGTCATCTCTTTTCTTCCTACTAAAATTATTATCACCTCCACTCTCCTTCTTCAATAATAGTCATCCTAAATATACACAGAATCTTTAAAAAAAAAATTACAAATTCAGTATTTTAAATAGCGAAGGGCAAAATAAATGAGGAAAAAAGAGAGAAATAATAATTTTAAAAGTGTATTAATAGATGCATAACGTTCCCTGAGAGCAGAAAAAAATAAAGCAGTACAGGTATTACTTTCCAACAGAAGCAGGGATGGCAGGGATGTACTAGCTGCTGTTACTAGACCAGACTATTTCAGCTGGAAGAGACCTACAAGATCATCTGGTCCAACTGTTTGAGCCCTTCGGGGCTGACCAGGGATTTTCTAAATGCCTCTGACACACTGACAGGCCTGGGGCATTGACCACCTCTCTGGGAGCCTGTTCCAGTGTCTGACCACCCTCTCACAAAGAAATGCTTCATAATGTTCAGCCTGAACATCCCCTGATGCAGCTTTGAAACATTCCCACAACACCAAAGTTTGTTTCAAAACTATAACCAGAAAGTTTGTGTCCAAGCTTTGGGAATTGCCAGGGACATTCTGTACACAGCAGTAAAAAAAACAACAGAGGATACCCACCCAGCCCTGCCTCTAAATTAGCATTACTCTACATCAAAAGCATTACAGTAGAGAAAACCAGGAGCCACTTCTTAAAACATCTCTATCACCTGCAGCACAACTTATCTGGTTATCAACTCAGAAAACAAATTCCTCCTCTAAAGTCACTGCCCCAAAACTTAAGTCCCAGGTTCCCAAAGCCACTCATGAAATAAGTAACAACATTATTGAGCCAAAGGGTTCTGCTTCCAAGATTCAGGATAACAAAGTGACAAACTGAGATTCCTATAAATCCTGAAAACCTAACATTCTCAGAAACTATAAACATCCAGTAAAAATAGTAACACATAGTATTAAATGATTTGTCAGGGAGATTCTTGAGACAGGGAGATGGAGAGTGTCTCAGAAATCAGGCAGTGGCCTTGGCAATTCCTATGCTTTTGTCCTAGATATTCAAAATTGGAAGTAGCAGAAGCACAAGAGGTGCACCTGCAGAATTAAGGAGGAAATGATGGAAAACCCCCAATGGTTAAAAAAAGGGTCACAACAGGACTTCTAGTGTATTTATTCACACACATTTAATTTTTTTTAAATCAAAATTTGCAGAAAATGAGAGGTAAATATACATGGATTCCTTATTACTCTTCACTGATTAGACATAACACTGTTACCCATAGGTTTGTTTATAGGTTTGCTTGACTGCAGAGTAATATAGACATTTTATGACACATATTTACAACTTTGATTTGTGGGAGAGAGGAAGGTTGGCTGGAGAACAGGTGGAATTCTAAGGTTTTGGAAGTAGAAGATATTTAGGAAGTTACATAATTCATCTGTACATTTAAGATCAGAATTTTACAATATGCTATTCGTGTACAAGATGAATATCACCACTGAATTGTATAAAACTCCATTTCTAAAAGAAGTCTCTTCAGTAGAAGCCTTTCAACTGAAAAAGAAAGTTCTTTTTCTTACCTTTGGCTGTTTGTTCCTTTTCAGCCAAAATGGAATAGTTTCTGCAAAACTCCACTTTGGCTATTTTTATAACAGAAATTGTCTAAAATGCCAAATTTAAAATATGAAACTATGTAGTCCCCACTGTTCTGGAATCCAGCACATATGAAAACCATAGTTGTGAAAGGTGATTATAATTTTTTTCTATTTTAATTCAGTTTACCAAATAAAAATCCTGAGAAAAAGGTTTCTTTCACTACAGAACTCTGGCAAGACTAACAAAAAAAGTGCAGAAAGTTACATTTTACACAAATATGCTGTTCTTGTAATTATATTCTCATGCCAGTTTTATTTGTCAAAATGTCCCAAAATACTGTCTTGTATTAGAACGTAAAAAAATCCCATCATGTATCCCATTAAAGTCTTCAATGCACACTAAAGAACTGATAAGGTGCTGCATCTTAATATATAGATAATTTTACATTAATAAAATACTTACAATCAATTAAAGTATCCTCAATATGATAAAAAAGGTATCCTTAATATGATACTTGAAACACTATATTATCCAAATAGATATTTGGACTATAAAATCCAAATAAAAATACAACTAAATTCTACAAGTCTATTAACAAAATGCAAGAAATCAGAAACCACCAGCAATACCTTTACAGAAGACTAGTCTAATACAGCAAGAAAAAAATAAAACTTGAAAGAATTCTTTTCCATTTCCAATGACAAGTTCCTAAAATTAAGACCAGTATTAAAACTCTGAAAAACACACAGCTATGGGTAACAGTGAAAGCAAAGTTGTATAACATCTTGTGGAGGCAATGAGTAAGGCATACCAGAATTATGTTAATTTTTACTCTTTGTTATCATTATTTATTTCTAGAGTAAGAAGTCGATAAAAATGTTATTTTCTAATATAATATATCTTTACTTGTTTTATCATTAATAAAACATTACTGATTACTTCTGTAGTGTTAAATAAAGAAGTTGCCTTAACTTTTTACTTTCTTTTTTTTTTCCTTTGGCAAATTCAGAATACTTAGAAAATCTTATAGTAGGGTTTTATAATAAGGAGATCTAAAGGTTCTCCTAGCTTACCAAGAAATTCCAAAGAACTGAAGATTTAAGAATTCAGACAAGTCCCTCATTGTTTTTCAGTGCCTCACTCTACAGCATAAATATTAGATTTTTCTATATATTCCCATCATCCAGCAGTTCAGAAAAGTTTGAATAATCCATCATACTCGAAAAGTCACGGTGCTCAGGTGACTCAGATGCTCCAGAGACTGGAATTGGGAAGCATCATTCCTATTTTCAAAGAGGGCAGAAAGGAAGACTTGGGGAACTACAGACCAGTGAGCCTCACCTCTGTTCCTGGGAAGGTCATGGAACAGATCCTCATGGAAGCAATGCTAAGGCACCTGGAAGACAAGGAGGGGATCTAAGACAGCCAGCACAGCTTCACTAAGGGCAGGTTGTGCCTCACCAGTCTGGTGGCCTTCTATGATGGAGCAACTGCACTGGTCAACAAGGGAAGACTAACTGATGTCATCTAACCAGACTTCTGTAAGGTCTTTGACATGGTCCTACATGACATCCTTATCTCCAAACTGGAAAGACATGGATTTGAAGGGTGGATAAGGAATTGGCTGGAAGTCCAAGTACAAGGTACTACACCTGGGCCAGGCTCAGCACAGACTGGGAGAAATCCTGCCGAAGGCTCTGGACAGGCTGGGGGTGCTGGTGACAGCGGCTGGACGTGAGCCCAGGTGTGCCCAGGGGGGCAAGAGGCCAATGGCACCTGGCTTGGATCAGCAATAGTGTGGCAGCAGGACCAGGGCAGGGATTGTCCCCCTGTGCTGGGCACTGGTGAGGCCACACCTCAAATCCTGTGTCCAGTTCTGGGCCCCTCACTGATGGAATGACATTGAGGGGCTGAAATGTGTCCAGAGAAGGGAACGGAGCTGGGGAAGGGTCTGGAGAAAAAGTCCTGGGAGCAGCAGCTGAAGGAGCTGGTGGGGCTCAGCCTGAAGAAAGGGAGGCTCAGTGAGGACCTTCTCGCTCTCTACAACTCCCTGATGGGGAGGGTCGGTCTCTTCTCCCAGGTAACAAGACACAGGACAAGAGGAAACAACCTCAAGTTGCACCAGGGGAGGTTTAGATTGGATATTGGGAAAAATTACCAGAAGAGTTGTCAAGCATTGGCACAGACTGCCCAAGCAAGTTGTGGAGTCACCATCCCTAGAGGTATTTAAAAGATGTGTAGATGTGGCACGTAGGGTCATGGTTTAGTGGTGGACTTGGCATGTGGTGGATCTTAAGAGATCATGGTTTAGTGGTGGATCTTAAGGGTTTTTTCTGTAGGGAGAGGTATAATTTTGGAAGAATTTGTGACGGAAAGCTAGAATTCGATTTTGTTTAGGAAGACTGTAAAATGCCTTCTCAAATGGGTTAGATTTTTTTTTTCCTTCCTTCTGCATTTCAGGGAGAGCTATGAGCAAGCCATCTCCCTGGTATGCAGAGTGGTAAAATATTTGCAGACACGTACAAGGTCTCCTTGGGCCAGAGATGGTGGGGGAGGAGAGAGAGAAGATACAAAAAGCCTTGGAGAAGTCGGGGCCTTGCCTTTTTCCCCTGGGGCCTGGTGTGCAGGGCAGCATTGTTAAAAAGTGGTCCTTCCCTCTGAAATAAACCTTTTTATTATTCCTTCCACTGCCTTGGCATTCTTGGGAAGAATACCTGCATATGTTATACCTTACATTTCCAACCTAAATGACTCGATGATTCATCTACCACATTCCAGTTAACCAAAATAAATACTGATATATCTTCCAAATATATAAACATTTCACTGTTTCAGATACTGATTACCTATATTTACCATCTGAAAATCATCCCAGCAGTTACTGTCAACAGACAGATCATGCAGCCATCAGACTGGACACCCTCATAGGACTGCAGAAAAAGACTTGTCCTTTAGTGGGCTTCATCCCAACACTTGTATTTCCCAGCCTGCTGGCAATTCTCCACAACACTTTTTTTTTTGGTGATTAAACTTCACCAACCATACTCTAGGATGAATCATGTGGATCTATTTCTCTGTGATTTGAATGTCTGTTTCTCATCTAAATGTTACCCTGCTTGCTAAATTCAGGAGAAATTAAACAGTACCATAAAATATACAGCCTTCTTCCAGGATATGTCTTAAAAAAACAGGTACTAGAACACCTGACAACACTACTGAACTGACTGACTCGGTTTGGACTGTCCCTTACTCGCAGTTCAAAATGGGCAAACATTGACTCCTGTGCAACAATGACAGACCCCTCAAGATTATCAAAAGACAACTTTGCTTTGATATCAACAAACTGGAAAGAA